AATGGATGGGTCAGCCGACACAACAGCAGTGGGCGCCGCAACCTTACCAGCAGTGGGGTCCGCAACCTGTGCAGCAATGGGGTCCTCAGCTTGTGTCTCAACAGCCTGTTTCTCAGGTGAACAAGTCAGATGCTACTACTGTAGGGCAACGTCCGGTTTTCGGATGAGCTCGCGACGAATTCACGAGGTATCATTCAAAGTCTGCCGATATCTGGAATGCCATTCGCTTCGTTCTCGTTTCCCCGAACACTTGATACTAACAATCCAGGGAGATTCTATGCTTGGTATCTCGGTATCACGGTCAGATGAGGGTTTCGTTCGCCAAAGATGGCTTCACATGTGTCTTTAGGGTCGATTCACTTTCATCAGGAGCCACGAAAAGCGCTTTCACCGCTCACCCTCGTTTGCGAAAATGGCGTATGGCCGATTGCTCTAGTGTGGTTTACGGATACTTCTACACTCTCAGGCCAAACGCCCCAGATACCAGTCGCCAGCCGCCATGACGACGAGCTCTTCCTGCCGTATGACGCCCTCAGCCCTCAGTTCTAGGTCGCTTGACATCGCTCCTGATAAATCGGAAAGTCGTATGGGGAGCCAGAAGAGCAACGATCTCGAGAACTTGAACCACCCGTACAACAAGACCGACAGTAGACCTGCTATGCCCTACACGATAGGCGCCACGTTCACTGCCCACCGTCACGTACCATCTGCGCCTTTCGGTAACGGTTACAACACTCCATGGCCGCCTTTCAAGACAGGCCACTTCAGACTACCGCAGCTCAACTACTGCCTTATCCGACCGCCAATCGAAGGGTGTACACTCCAAGAGTCCTACACGCTTACCATCACCGATATAATACGTACTGGCTCTATATACGCTGCGCAAGTCGTCTTGGTCAACGGAGATGTAGTAGCAAAGATATACGACCCGCTTTACGATGACGAATTCGACATCTTCGATGACAAGCGCGATGTTGTCGTACTATCTGATGGAGATTACTCCCGCGAAGCCGCTGCGTACGATGAATTACGACGAGATCACAAGGCGCAGCGCGTTGTCCCGGAGTACTATGGTAGCTGGACTATTGATGTAGACACGTTGGTGGACGGCCGGATGTACACACGACACGTTCGGCTCATACTCATGGAATATATACCCGGTACTGTTCTGACCGCCATAAAGCCGCTACTGCTCTCTGCACAAACACGCTCAACAATCATGAGAAAAGTCCTAGAAGCTGAATCCCTCATCTTCGCCGCCGGTGTCCTGCACCGCGACATCGCCCCTCGCAACGTCATGCTCGTCTCCCCATCACCCACATCTTCCCTCGACGACCCAGACCTCCGTATCGTCATCATCGACTTCAACGTCTCCAATGTCATTCGGCTCAGCGAACCCCGCCCTGGCGACTCCGACTCCGCATACATACAACAGCGATGGCCGAGCAGGATAATGGGGCCAGTAATGAGGTTCTGGAATGCGATGGGTGATTTTGCGTTCAAGGGGTGGGTTGGTAGTAAGACGGAGACGACGAATGAGTGGCTGTGGGAGTGTTTTGGGGAGAGGGAGGAGTATGTGCCGCTTGTTAGGGATGCGGGGGATAGGAAGGCTTGTCCTGGGATTGATTGGGGATGCAGATCTGGAGAACGGGGGTAATGCGGACGGAAGTAGAGCTGCTGAGTAGATGGTGAACAGTCCGGACACAGGCGGTGAGGTTTCATGAAATCTTCGTCATATGAGAGTATGTTCAGTATTCCATTATATTCCAATCGTTCGCTCTATAGATATCCCGGGTACCTACATCGCCTCTCATGCACAACTACCAGAAGCCCAGGTGTACCCATAGACACTACATTGTAATTACCGACTATTCCCTGGACTCAATTTCGATTCCGGCGTCTTCAAATGCCTTCAGAAGCCAGCCTAGGAGAACTTTGCGAATGAGACCTGACTCCATGGAGCCAGTTCCTTCGTCGCTCTCCTGTACCCAAGATACTTTTGGTCTAGCGCTGGCTGATGCGGGTTTGCCATTCATCTTAGGCTTGGTTGGGTCAAAATCGAACAGTAGTAGATGGTCCCAGTTGAAGAGTGCGACGTGCTTGCATTCTGTGCGGATGGCATAGGCCCGAACTTGCCTGCCGTAGGGTTCTGCGTTATTTTGGAGTAAGGTGCCTGTGCCCTTCTCAGTAAGATCGGCTTCCTTATTCTTGCGGTCTTCTAATGTTGGATTCTCCACAACGATAGCGTCCTCAAAGTCCTTGTAGCGAATGTATTGTCGTCGCTTGAACTCGACGACTGCAATTGTTTCCTTGGAACCGGAGGTTTTGAAGATCAAGTCAGTACGGAGAGCAGATTCCCCAACGTTTTCTTTCTGTTCGTCTTTCTGTGCGTTTTTCTGTGCGTTTTTCTCGACCTGGGTCTGCTCTGAGTGAAGAGTCCATTTGCCAGGAAACATTGCATGAAGCACCTCGGTGATAGGATCAAGCACATATGTCATAGTTGCTAGTACAACTCCAGCCTCATTGTCTTGTTTAATCTCAGGGCGCTTGGCGGAGATGGTCCTTGAACCAAGGATCTGATTCAGCATTGGATGATTTAGAAACTCATCAGCAGTCGTCTCATGCTCCACGATAGGTGTGTAGAACAACATCTCAGGGGGCGGCGTGTTCTTTGTAGTGGCACCAGAAGCTTTCACAGTCTTGACCGTAACCTTATCGTCAAGTTCTAGGACGTATATCTTGCTCTGGAAAGACTCAAGAATTGTCGGCGGTGAGGAGGAATCAGGTGTCATTTTGGCGATTGAGAAAGGCCTGCCGGTGCTGCTTATCGTGATGAAAGAGTTTGGGAGCAAACGATCGGAGTGAAGTGCTTCAGTTCAACAGGGTTGAGGTTTCTATTGGGTTGAGTAGATAACAGTGGGAAGAGCTCAAGGAAATCTGGGCGTGATATGTGAGAATTGCAAATTCATGGGTCCTACGTCCCACCCGCGTGACATCACTTGCCTAGTTAGAGCAGAAGCTGGAAGTGAAATGATGGTAGGTGTGACTGTTTTACTCCGCCAGCGATATAGTGACTGTACAATGGAGTCGCACCAGGCTAAGACTCTCGAAGGAAGTTTCTGTCCCTGATTATGTTCACATTTCCCTACCTAGGTAATCTAGTGAACTCAAAGCCGCGTTCATTGCCCATACACAAAGTCGACGTGAATCAGCCCGCAGACAATTCCGTTCAGATGAGTGATCGCACAACGAAGGCTTAGTCATTGTAGGTACCCAATGTTCTTACTACAAAGAGCACGAAGGCCAGTGAGCACGAGCACGAGTGAATTCCGAGCCACGTGATGGCGCGGTGCGGGAGCTAGCGTGACTTGGCACACTTTGTCCCTACTTCTACCAGTAACCTTGTCCCGCGCACAACTTCACTACACGACACCAGATCTCCGATGGAAGCGCAACTACTCCAGCCGATCAGCGAGGCGCAAGCAAGCGATCGCGCGTGCAGTAATGACCACTGCCCATCGGCTGCTCCCGATGACACCGGATCACCATCACAAAGCGCCGGAGCTGAGCAAAGCGATACCGAGACTAGCGACATCGACTTCGAGGAGACGCCAGTGGTGCCCTACGTTGTAGGTCTGACTCTTACGGGCACAAGACATGCGCCACCTGAGCCTTTCGGCTGGAGATACACCACGGAATATCCCCCCATGGTGGAGAACTGTGATTCGCTTTCGCAAGCCGAGCTTTGCTGTATGCGACTTCCTCTGGGTGGTCAGACAATTCAAGACGACCAAATCACTCTCACTATAACCGATATCATCAGGGCCGGATTCAACACAGGTGCGCAACTTGTGGTAGTCAACGAAACTATGGTTGCCAAAATCTTCGATCCGCTCTGCTACAGGGATTACGACTACGATATCGGCAGCATCAACGTTGTGTATGATGCAGATGGCGATTATAGTCGCGAAGCTGCCGCCTATGAACAGCTACAGAAGTCATCGGCGGCTAGAGAAGTCACACCTGCTTTCTACGGCACGTGGACTATTCCTGTTGATACCCAGCTCCGCGACGGGGATCAGCTCCAGAAGCACACTCGCCAAGTGCCTCTGGTTCTGATGGAATACGTACGAGGGGATACGATGCGCAATGTCGATGCCCGAGCATTGACGGAGCAGATACGGTCCTGCATTCTCGAGAAGGTCATAGACAACGACATTGTCATGTTTCACGCAGGCATCGACAATCCTGATACCAGCCCTCGAAACATCATAATAGCTGGTCTCCAAGCCAATCCAGAAGACAACGTACCAGATGGTATCACCGTCAAAGAGATCGATTTCAACATTGCTACTGCCCGTCGTCACCCGGGATGCCGCAACTACCAAATGGTACGTGAGGTCGACGAGGAACGTGCGGTGTGGCTCCCCAAGCTTCAATCGCCAATGATTCGATGGTTCAACGGCATGGAAGATTTTGCGGGAGATGGCTGGTGCCCTGGTGAAGAAGGAGAACCCGAACTGTGGCTATGGGAACAGTATCATAACGATGAGCGCTATATTCCCGTCATTTGGGACCCGTCCCAACCCGACGTTAGGCCACAGCGCGTAGAGTTCGAAAGCGGTTCCGAGACAGGCGTGGATTCAGGTCTGGGTTTGGACATGGTCATTGAGAAAGGCGACGAAGACGACGGGAAGAGCGTTGTTGAGCTCGATGACCAAAACGCGTCTGCTGTACAGTCGTCATAAGCTTTGCTGGGCGTTAACGGAGTTGTTGTCCTTTTGAGACGTAATTAGATACCCATTGATGGGCATCAGGCCTGGAAAATGTATACTCTCTCTATTGTAGATATATCTCTGCAGTCTTGAGTGCTCAAATGGTCGGTTTGCCCTTCTCTTGGATGCTTACGTGATGAAGTTTTCGCGGCTCTGCATAAATCGATAGTTCACATCAACGTCCCGCAATGACACCCTCCTCATCTCCTCCCTGCCAACTTACACCTACTCGCAGCTTGTCTGGTTGAACTTCATAATCGAGGATGCGTTCGATCCGAAAGCCACAGCGCGATCAATCCATGCATCGATGCTTTCAGCGGCTGGCTGTCGCACCCTGCTCAAGATGTACAGCGTATTCCACTTCTGAGTTTGCACAATTGCCCAATCGACGGCGTAATCTGCGCGTCAACGTTAGCGGTCGTGCACTTCGATTAATGCTCACGACACGACTCACCTTGCACAATGTAGTTCGGTCCTGGGCACTCTGCTGTTGATGGCGTGCCAGGGAAGCTGACAACGAAAGCACCGGCGGTGCCATAGGCAGAGTCTACGGGCTTGGCTGTGCCGACAATGTCGACAGTTCGTGGGCCGACAGTCGCGGTGTTGGTGACGCGCACCGTACCGTTATCCTGCATCAGCTGTCAATCACCGTCCAAAGATTCGCATACACGAAAAAAACGTACGTTAAGTTCGTAATTTGCGCTGACGCAGCGCGCCCCGGCCGTAGGACCGAATGGCGTACCAGCTACCTGATACCAGGTACCGAGATACGCGTTCAGGTTGAACTTGGAATCAGGGACGGGGTAGAAACAGGTTCCGTCATATTGTGCGGCCGCGACATTAGGCGTAGAGCTCGTCTCGTTATAGGAGGCTTGACGAGGGTGAATAAAGCCTGATGCGGCGGAGGAAAGGGCGAGGACAGTACTGGCGACGCGCATTTTGATCAAGCTTACACCTTGTGTCGGAATTAGAGATTATGGTGTATGGTGTAGATGAGGCAGGGATGGTAATAATTTTGCAATGAGGACGTGCCTCCCTCTACTTGACATAAACTGTGGCTGGTGGCACGTCACTCCCAAGCCACTATGAAGTACCACGCTTTCATAAACAGTCCAGACTCGGACACATGTGCACATCGCCGGTATCTCTCCCGGGCCGACAGGAACCATCGTGAATGCGCATCGGTACACACGTGTTGCCAAGCGTGCGGACTCTTTTCCTCGGTCGAAATGTGGTAGCGGAAGAGCCCCGGCTCTTCTTCTCATTACGAGATGTTGCGGCTGTCGGCAACCGCAGCTGTTGTTTAGTAACGAGGTTGGTGTTTTGGGGACAGGGGTGAGCGACCGAGGGCTGGTGATGACGTATGCGCCGACTTGGCATGGAGCCGCATCACCGCCTTCGTCGCTTGTGCTCTACACTACAATGTTTACTTGGTTTCGCCTATGGAGGATACTATGGAGGCCTCCGAAGCTAGGTTCTGTCATCAGATCATGCAAAGGCGTTGCGAGCTTCGTGACAGTCCCAGGGCTTGTACAGAAAAAGGTTTGTTATTGACCTCCAAACAGTAATCATTGTTCTGCCTAGCCATCTATCCATTACAGAAGTCTTTCAGTAAGCTGTGAGGTTACGAAAAGAGACCCGAATCAAGACAGGCCACTACCCGGCTCACCCAATACCGCATCGCACGCTTCGAGTAGAAATCCCAAGAACGTCAAACGCATACTATCTCTTGGAACGGCGGTGACCCGAACTCCTTCAATCCCCAAGACGTTTCCGAACCTCAAAAGAATGAGGTTATCGTAATCGCAAAGTGCAACGTACGGGCATTTATACGCTTTCGGCTCGTCCACCCACTGCCGATCGATCGTGTCGCCTTCAACGATACCAGCCAGTGTATTTGGACACAACCACTTAACAGTCATGAGCAATCTCGGTTGGTGTGTCCCCATGAACTTCTCATAATAGAGTGACACCCGACTGTAGCCTACCCACCCGTTGCGTTGCGCCAGTTGAGTAGGATATTTCATCACGATGGCGTGATCGAGAGGACATTTTAGCCATATGCGAGCAGCGTCGAAGACGTCGTCGTCGGTCTTGAGGGGCCTGAGTGAGTTGTCGTCGGGGTTCGGTAGGGTAGGTAGTGGAGGGTCTTGGTGAATGGGCGAATCGGGATTTGCGTATTCGGCTTCGAGGAAAGTGGTGGCGCTGTGTATGTAATCTGTAGGCGCGTCGGTGTGCCAGATGGTACAGATGCTCTGATCTCTCATGCTTTTGAGGTACGGGTTCTTGAACTTTACCAGCTCTTCGTCCGCGTTTTCGAGTGGTGAGTGGTAATCGTACGCCATTGTGCTGATAGGGCTCGCGTTTTGTTAATAAGGCGATACCGTGTGCGTGTCCTGAGTGGGCTTTGGGATATCGTGGATGAGCCAGGCTACTGATCAAGTGAGGGTGACATGAGGGCGTTGGGTGGAGAGGACTGCGTACTGGCACATCGAAAGCAGTCGAACCTGCCGAAACTCAGTGAAAGCCGCTGCTACAAATTCACACTATTGTGGGAGGAACAATACGGAAGATGCACACCACACCAATTTCTGAATTGAAGCGTAGTAATCATAAAATGTACAGTAACGGGCCTGCTACAATAGAACGCCGATGCGCACAGCGCTTGATCCATGATCCGTATGCGCCTATCGTGACGCCGAAGCTCAGCAATACCCTAAAAAATGAACAAGAAAGTAAAAATGAGCGACTATTGCAAGCTCTCGGTAGGAACAATGGAGACCTTGAAGATGGTACCAGCCAGTGATGAATCACCGCCAACCGTCACATTACCGGAACCAGATCCGACGTCGTTGTGACATCCCTCCTTGCCCGACTTCTGAAGCATGCGAGCAAAGTAGCCATAGCAATCCTCGACCTTCCAGAAGACACCAGCAGAGTCCTCGGGTTGGGAAGCTGGGGTGACATCGACTACAACCCTCATTAGTACATCTGGATGCTGCGAATTGGACAAGAGTTTCTTACATCTGACAGCATAGTCGGTAATTCTGTTACCATCGCTACCCACTACATTGGCATCTTGTATGCTGTTCTTTTCGCCGCTGAGTGGGTAGTCAACAGTCGCGGTACACAGCGTACCGGTGGGGATGCGGTCTGGATAGGCGCAGCCGGGCATCATAGCGGCGCAAGCGTTGTTAAGGATAGTCTCGAGTTTGGGATCAGCTGTGAAGCTGAGTGATTTATCGGAGTCGGAGGTGGGGTCGCATGTCGTTATTGTGTCGGATGCGGGTTGCCAACTGTCACTGGCTCCCGTCTTGGGTGACTGCCGTTGAACGAGCGGTGCCGCGAGCGCCGTCGCTAGAAACGCGCTGAAGAGCATTTGGGTGTACATTCTGGCTGAGAGATCCGACTTCGAAGGTAGGGATTTGGAGAAGATGTGGTACAGCAGGTTGGGTGTCGGTAATGGAAGAACTTGGCGCTTGTCGGTACTCGAGGGAAAGACAGGTGAAGGGGAGTCTTTACAAGTCAATGCGCCAAAGCAGTGAGTTCTTTGGTGTTGTGAATGGTCGGTTAGCGAGGGAAGAATATGAGCGAGCGGCCCATCTTCTATATTACCTCTCTCTATGTCATACGCTAAGCATTAGAGTTGTAAGTGATCACCGTGGGGTCGGGAGCACGGTGATGCAAGGTGTGGAGATAGGAAATGAGGGACCCCCTGTGGGTGACGGACCGTTACAGACATCTCTTTGTTTCCTTCTTTTGCGAGCGGTACAGGGGATTGGCCCTGCATGATGTCTGCCTGTGGACAAGAAACAAGGTTACAAAAACAGGTCTAGACTTTATTGAAACAAAACAGGGTCGTCTGCATGGCTGTGGTCCCTTCAAATCAATTTTGGTGAAGCTGGTGAGTTGAAATGGCGGACGCGTGGGGTCATCTCTCTTGATCAAAGGATCGGCAGATCTACCGTCCGTGCCATGAGGCGCGTGGAACCTTCTTCAAAGAACATCGTTCTTATGAGCTCGCTGCTCAATTGTTCGTTCGGGTGCAAACGTCTTACGCTTGCTTCCGCGATTGCGCTTCCACACTCTCCGCTCTTACGCATGGTGACTCCTGGGGGCGCTGTTCTCACAACGTCATTATGCGCGGATTACGGCGAGCAGTCGGGAGGATGCTTGTTCGGTGGTATTGATGAAACAACGAGGTGCCACGCCGCCGTGAAGTTGCTCAAGATAGGGACCGAGAAGCTATGTCATCTGCCAAGGCTCTAGTTCGCCCTTCATTTCCCTGTTGCGCGAATGCCAGGGCTTCCCAATGCCAAAGCATCCAGCGCAGTCGAAGCCGAATCTTCTCAAAGCCTCTCAGAAGTTGCGCAGTCTCAGACCAGAGATGCGCGCTGCGACCTCTACGAGAGGTGTACGATTACGAATACCTAGACACTCAATGAACAGCACCTGCGCCAGGTGTCCAGCAGTCACGATGTGCCTGCGCAGTAGCAATAACAGCATGGCAGAACATCACGGCATCAGCAGATGTACTGCGCAGAGTCCTGACTAACAATCACTTGGTCCCACCGAGCGCAATCCCTTTTAATCCCCGAAGGCGCTGAGAACATGAATGCGCAGACATTAGCATTAGGAGTGTAAGATTCCGATGCCCTTTCGCGCATTGTCCGTAAGGAGCGTACTGCTTACGCCAGCTGGCAAGAGGATTGCCTGCTAACCCGAAGAAGAAAATTTCAAGCGTACACCGTTCAGCCCTACAGATTCGCGTATGCGCAGTAAGCAGCACCTATCGCATTCCAATCTCAAAGGCCAGCTATAGCTAGGCTTCAGCGATGTGTCTTTCATCCGTGGCCTTCTTTGACAGTCACCCTTCTGACCCTTTACTTGTTTGCCATCAACTTTCAGCATGAACACCAAGGCAGAAGCAAACACATGGGCGGATACACCATTCGCCCTCCTCAACATTCCCGGTCAACCAAACGCACCAGTATGCACGAATGCCGGTGTTCTCAGTGTCGCCATAGAGATGGCCAATGTTCACAACGTCTTGCTCCGCGCTCTAAATTCCATTTATCACCAAGCGCCCTCCATTCAACTCCCTGGCGATGTTGCGGATCTCATGTTGTACGTCACCGCATGGGCGGATACCGTGCACCACCATCACTCCCTTGAAGAGGCTAAGTTCTTTCCAAAGATAGAGCAGATCGCAAGAGAGGCAGGAATGGATGACTGGGAAGGCATGATGGGAGGAAACGTGGACCAGCATCATCAGTTTGAGCCGAAGATTGCAGGGCTGGTGAAGTGGGCCGAAGAAGTTGGGACTGGAGAAAGAACGTATGACGCGGCGGAACTCAAGAGCCTGATCGATGAATTCGCACCTGTCCTTACCCAGCATCTACACGACGAGATCGATACCTTGATACGACTCGAAAAGTGTGATGGAGAACAGATCAAGCAGGCAATGAAAGAAGTAGCCGACGAAGGAGCAAAGACTGCTGATCCGGTACGTATTCCAATATTCTCACTAGCTGCTTACCATCAAGCAAAACACTGATAAGCTGCCTCATCAGAATCTTGTTATCCCATTGGTACTCGGATGTGTTGACAGAAGCTACCCTGGTAGTGGAAACTTCCCACCTGTACCCTTCTTCATCCCGTACCTGAACGCGTACTGGTTCACAAGAAAGCATAAGGGGGCTTGGAGGTTCAATCCAAGCGATCACTGGGGAAATCCGAGGCCGCTGCAGTTTCTCTCATGACCATTGCGAAAGGTCTAATCAAAGTCAGGAAACTGACAGAGCATGGCGGTCGCCGAAGCTTGTATGTATTCAGAGGTTTTCTATGTGATGAATGAGAACTATTGGGGCTCATGTAGCTTCTGCAGTGGCAACTTACCTCCACAATGGAGGACCAGGCACGCATTGTTTACCTTTTGGCTGCCTCTCATCTAACTACATTATTTCACTCTACTCGATGTACTCATTGGGGTACTTCGAGGCCGCTACATCTGCCTCGCTGGATTATGGCAGTCGAATACATTCACATCGAAGCACATGCGAGGCGCATCTAGGCAGCCTTGCCACCAGGTAATAAAGGAACTTTCCCATCGAAAGCGCTTTTTAGCTCCACATGGATATTATAAAACCGATCTATAATTCCTTCTCGAGCCATTACTACCTGATTCAACAGAACCACGTCCAGAATTCCTGTCAACACTAAAGTCAAAACGTGCAGCCAACAGATATGTCTGTCAACACTAAAGTCAAAACGTGCAGCCAACAGATATGTCTGTCAACAGCGTACCTACGAGCCCCCTTCTAAAGCTCCCCGGAGGTAAGTAGGAACTAGCCCTCTAGGAGTAAAATCAGCTGGACTATAATGAGCTAACGTATGTTAACAGAGCTTCGCAACCGTATCTACAACTATGCACAAGAACCACGCGATGTTCATCTCACCCGCAAGCCTACCCAGCAACACGAGCAGACAAATAAGACTCATCGACAGTTCTTCGGTCTCACACAAGTCTGCCGCCAGCTTCGGTCAGAGTATCTACCCATGTACATGGCGCAGACCAAAGTTCATATCCAGTGTGTGGACTCGCTTCTTTACATCAACACTTTCATTCTCCCTACCGGTACAGACCCCAAGCAAGCTCGCGGAGATCTCACCGTCCAATTACCAGGCCAATTGTATGAATCTCGGAGCGAATTGTCAACTCAAAGGGATATCATACATGTCGTCAACCTCTGCGGAAGCGCTCCACAGGTTAACGTAGCCTTCGCGCTAGGCGACATCCCGCTATCGCAGAGCCGTTTTTCAGGCCGCCGTATAGGGCGTATCCTGCACGACCTCACAAAACCGGAAGCTATGCCTGTGCTGCACGATTTCATCCGAAACTCCGTGGAGCATCTAAAGTGTTGGATGTATACGGAAGAAACCTCGTCGCCGAGGTTCCGGACAAAGAAGGGCCATGCGGAGAAGTGGATGGATGCGTGGTCACACTGTTGCGCGAACTGCCCCACCGGAGAGGATTCAGCTCGGCGGGTGGAGCAATGGAGGGGGGAGATGCGGCTCGATGATTCGATGCATCACTTGAATGATTACGTTCATGTAGTATTTATCGTCAATGAGGAGTGGAAAGCTTGCTTGTCGCATGGGTGCTAGACTGCTGCTGTTTACAAATTTACAATGTTTTTTTGGACCATCCAACTTGGTTGTGACAGTACGGTTTGGAGAAGAAGACGAATTCGAAAGTTGCTGGGGTGGGCTAGATCCGTACATGTAGTTGCCTAGCCGAAGTGTACCTTATGTTACTTAGCAGATCAATGATTATTGAGGGTGTCATCGCTTTTCAATAGTTTCTTTGCGTCATTTGAAAGGTATTTGTAGGCATTGAACGTATCCATGTGGTTGCAGAAGCTATGGGTGCACCACTCGGTACTCGTCTGAGTCATTGTGGCCCAGAGGAGTAGAACAAGGAATACCCAAAAGCGTCAATGTAGTAGGCTCAGGCTTGAACTCGATGAACCCGGAAAGTGCCACTGGAGATGGATGAGCATTTGGTCAGATTGAGAAGGTGTTGATAAAGAGCGTCCGCGACATCGCCAACATTACACTTGCTGTCATAGTTCATACTTCCTCAACTGTCCACGATAAGTGAGCAGAAAATCGCCCATGACGCCATAATGATCCGAGACCCAATCTAGCTCGCCCGCCTTCTTCATCATCTGTCTATGCTCCTCCGCGACTTTGACGCCCACGCCAATCCTCTGGAACTTGCAAGGACCTAGCCACCCTTGGAATAAGATCTTGTCCATCCTGCTACAGCCAAATCTATCGCTCGTGGCTTGTGGAGACTGATAGCCCCAGGTATACCCGTGGTCGCTGTCTTCTTCGCCGGGCCCATTGCGAATAGTAGGTACATTGTTGTTGAAGTTACCGAAGACGGTAGCGTCACTTGGTGCATTGGCGTGGCCGCCAATAGAGAGGTACATATCCTCGAGCGCATTACCTGTGTGTAGAAAGCGATCAAAGGGCTCGATAGCATTGAGGTCGCCAGCTAGTATTGCGCTTTCGACATCCGGGTGGCTGAGATACTGCTTTGCGGCTGCCATCTGAATGGGGCGGACAGGCGGATCAGCAACGAGAGACTCCAGATGTGTGTTACATAGCCGTAGCATTTTCACCGGAAGATCTGGACGAATGCAGTTGTAGAGCTTGATGTCCACAAACAGGCCGTCTCGTCCGAACTTGCTGTACCACGGCACGCGGAAAACGGAGTCTATGTGCATTCGCCGATCGACGAGTGTGATCGTACCATAGTGAGAGCTCAGCCAGTTTTGCGAGTCGATGTCTGTGAGGTTGAAGCGTTGCTTGACCCAGGCTGAGTCTCGTATCTGCTCCATGTCTGAGACTCCCATCTCTTGTAGAAATATGACGATTGCGATATCTGGCGGGGTGGATGATACTAAGTCGTGCAAATGATCTAGTGCAGCGCTCATTCTTTCTTCTGCGAATGGAACGAGGACATCGATATTCCAGGAGATCAAACGAAGCTTCCTGGGATGCAGAAGTGCCTCTGATTCGTCTTTTGGGAACGCTTGGTCGGATGTTGCTGGTGTCCAATTGCCGTCAGGCGAGACGCAATAGTAAGGCTGCTTCCTTGGCTCGTAGAAAGCATCTTCGCGTTTCTGTATGACAGAGGAGAAACTGGCCGCAGCGGCCTGCATGGTAGGGTTAGGCTTTACTGACGACATGCTTCTGGGGGGTCTAGTAGGCAGTCAAAATGTAGGTGGAGCTGCAGAAAGTTTGGAAAGTGTAAGCCTTTGGCATGTAGACACAGCAGACAGTACATTGCGAAGCATGATGTTCATTGTACCTAGGTAGTCGTCCACGGGTGGTTGCCTGGATAGTGCTGACGCGGGGTGCGTGAGGCGCTCGGCTAGGGGCTAAACAATGCTAGGTACCGTGATTGTATTGCTTGCTATATAAGATAGTACAATGGAACAAAGACGAAGCACAAATCGTAACTGTGGTCGATATAGATGATGCGCAGGAGCAGATGCGTGTTCTTGGAGGTGCGAGCGCCGGCACGTGATGCGGTGAGGGTACCCCTGTCGTCAATGCCGAAGCGCGTCGTGAACTTTCGCGATTCAGAAGGAGCTCCAACCTGGAGAAGCTGCCACGACACCAGCTCTTCGCCTCGCCAGAAAAACCGTCTCTCTACCGTCATCGCCGCCGACCGCTCTCCTAGATTACCAACGTCCGAATCCATCGTTATCCCCCAACCCCGCCATGGGCTCCCGGCTACACAATGCTCCGATCGTGATAGACAACGGCAGTGGAACTATCAGAGCTGGATTCGCAGGCGAGGATGTGCCAAAATGCTTCTTCCCGTCATACGTAGGACGACCGAAGCATGTGCGGACAATGGCAGGCGCATTGGAGGGCGACGTATTCATAGGACCACAAGCACAACAATATAGGGGGCTCTTCAAGATTAACTACCCATTGGAGCACGGCATTGTCACAGACTGGGATGATATGGAGCGGATATGGCAGTATGTCTATACAGAAGGCCTGAGGACCGTCAGCGAAGATGTGAGTTGGACCGTGGCAGACTGCCATTGAGGGTCATTAAGCTGACTATCTGTCTCTGTAGCATCCTGTACTCCTTACAGAGCCTCCGCTAAACCCCCGAGAAAACCGCGACACGGCTGCCCAGATCCTATTCGAGACGTTTAATGTGCCCGCCTTATACACATCGGTCCAAGCCGTCCTTTCATTATACGCATCCGGCAAGACAACTGGACTAGTTCTAGATTCGGGAGACGGTGTTTCGCATGCAGTGCCAGTCTTCCAGGGTTTTGCGATTCCCAACAGCATCAGAAGAATAGACGTGGCAGGCCGAGACGTTACAGAGCACTTCCAGCAGCTGCTGAGGAAAAGCGGCCGCGTCTTCCACACCAGCGCTGAGAAAGAGACGGTCAAGAACATCAAAGAGGCAACAGGATACGTGGCACTCGATCCGGCCAAGGAGGAGAAGGACTGGTCAGGCTCGTCCAGATCAGAGGGCAAGAGCGTTGACTACGCACTACCTGATGGCCAGAAGATAAAGGTGAGTACGAATGACGATTTGCATCAGACCCGAGCTGACAGTCTAGATCGGAGCGGAACGCTTCCGAGCACCAGAGATACTCTTCAACCCCGAGATCATTGGTCTGGAGTACCCTGGCGTGCACCAGATTGTCGTCGAGGCGATACACAGAACCGACATGGACCTCCGAAAGGCGCTTTATGGCAACATTGTACTCTCCGGAGGTTCCACACTGACAAAGGGATTCGGAAACAGGCTGCTTCATGAGGTGCAAAGACTGGCGGTGAAGGACATGAGGATCAAGATCTTAGCACCACCAGAGCGCATCTACACCACGTGGACCGGTGGCAGCATTCTTGCGGGCCTCAGCACCTTCAAGAAGGTAAGTTTCTTATTCCCCAACGAGGCTGTAGCCAGTGAACTGACACGTGCATGCAGATGTGGGTAGAGAAAGACGAATGGCAGGAAAACCCAGACATCATCCACACCAAATTCGCATAAGCACCGACACGTCGTCTTTGGCAGCAGCACTTACTCCGCACCCGTTTCTCCCGCCTCCGCATCATCTTTCGAGAAGGAGCTGCGTGGTTGCATGGGTAGCGCAGTTGCAGTTAGTCATGGAATGGGGTCCCAAGACCTGGGGTCGCGCCAACCACGAAGGAAGAAAGCTGGGGGCTGCGCGCTTGGTTGGGTGATGGCAGATCTACGTGTCAGCCGGTAGCCGTAGCTTCTAGACGGGAGAGCTACTGTAGCATGCTGCTTTCCCCGCATTCGAGTGCGTTTCTGTTACTTAAGCGCGAGCATGGTTCGAGAGTGTCGGTTAGGTAAGGTGTACGAGGGGAGAGCCCGTGCATAGCAGGCGTTTGTGAGCGCTTTGGAATACCCCTATGATTATGAAGCGTACAGAATACCACAATTAATCCACCTGCGAATGTGCACGCGGAGGGCGAAACGGGAAGTTACAGTGAGATGGTTTGGGCGAATGGGTGTGCCAAGCATCGTGAGGTCTTGTCTAGTCGCGTCAGCTATGGTGTGACTGCGGTCAAATCACCGATGCTTCACTCCACGTAATGTGCAACGCATATTACACACAATGGCGACATGACATGCGCAAATAGCATCACCCCAGCTGCAGCGATCGCGAGCACTGCAGGTACCTGATCACAGGGCCAGCCACAACAGGGGGCCACGTACCTGTTCGACACCGCAGACCGCAAGCACAGAGCCGCCCACGCCTAGACTTCACGATGCTCGACGTCATGCACGACGGTGCGTCCGGAGGCTCGGACGGCCAGCCGGACGTGCGCGGTCACCTGGCAGAGCACAAAATCGAGCGGCCGAAGGTGTAATTGCTTTTTTGGAAGACGCCACCAGCGTTCAAGATCAGTGTGCCTTGCAGAAGGAGGGATATCGATGCATGCAATGGGTATCAAATCAGCAACAGCAGCATCAAACAGGCAGCGTCAGAATCTGCAGCGTCTCCATCTCGGTTCTCCTCTGATCCAGGCACCCGATGACAAGCGCAGAGCGTATGCGGCGTATGCATGACGCGAGCCAGAGGTGAGACGCAGCACCGCAAAAAAATCTCTTCCCGCCTCCACACTCTCCGGCGGGAAGCGTGCGCTGGCCGTCGCGGAAGCTGGCACAAGGCCCCAGTTTGCGCATGGCGTCTTCTGCGTCAAATTTTCAGTCAGACACCTCACAGGCGGCGCTTCGGCCATGTGCGCTGCGGTTGCTGCGGAGCCAAGCTCCGGGCTTTCGATAGCGTCATGGGCTCGATCGCTTCGCTCCTTGTTCTCCGCTGCACCTGACCATTTCCCCTGGCAATCTCTTACCCCCGAGAAACTCGCTCCAGCCAATCACCGCGTTTTGAGGGGGTAATGGTAAACTATTCGTGGTGCTGAGAAATTTCCTACACTGGTCTTGTTAGGGGACGCATGATCCATTGACTGCCGTTAACTGCAAAGTGTCGCTCAGACTTCCAAGGCTTCTGAGCTGGCCTCGTGCGCGTCTGGTTCGTTTCGTGGCGCCGAAAAAAAGCTTGCGCGTGAGAGGTTTTCTTGCCTTGCATTCCAGTAGTAAGAGGGGATCGTGATCAGTGCGACGCTGTTTGTTATATAAACCCTTCTACCCCAGTAGGTCTTGTTGAGTACCAACGATCATCAACCACTACAGATCTTCCCGGAGCTACTTCTTACTATCAACGCTACCCCAGATTCATATCGACGACAGTCGCCACTTGACTTGCTCCCAACAACCAACAACCTCACTACCAAACAATCAAAATGGTCAGCTTCCACATCAACGAGCCTCACCCATCCGCCGGTGCCTACATGTACTCTGGCCGCGGCGGAGCCGGCAACGCCATGCGCATCAAGCCCACTGAGGTCACTCCCGGCCCCACAGCCTCAGGTCCAGCTTCGCGCACCAAGCTGCCTCCCCCACCCAGCAACGCCTTCTACGCCACCGGCCGTGGCGGTGCTGGCAACATGAAGAAGACTGAGCGCGCCATCTTCAGCTTCGACGAGGAACTCCAACAGCAAGAACGCCTGCGCACCCAACAGGCACCCGTCTACCACATCGGTCGCGGCGGTGCCGGCAACCTCGTCGACGAGATGAAGCCCCGATCCCAACGCCAGAACTCCGCCTCCTCCACTTCCAGCTCCTCAAGCGTAGAGAGCGAGAAGGACGGCGTCCGCCGCAGCATGGAGTCCGCATGGCAGCGCCTGAGCAGGCAATTCTCTCACCAATAAGAGAGTCACTGCCGCCTCTTCTTGCGCCCAACCTTCACTTCTTGCATACCCATCTTCAACGTGAGAGCTGGTTCCGAATCTCTCATCATCTCAGCATTTCCATCAGCACGGCGTTTCCACGGAGGTCTATCATCTCCCATTGTACAATCACCAACAACAAAAGTCCCTTTTTCACGACATCATTTTCTCCCTTCATAACGACATATCCACACAACCATCGAGGAGCCAGGCGCCTACCTCCGGTCATCAACACACATAAAAGTAACACCTTGATACCCGGAAATTACGTCCTGCTCTTACGAGAGAGGGCCCACTGTTCTCTGAACATTTTTTCATCATTTGCGGAAAGGGGAAGAGGAAGTTTATACCCCCAGGCCAGTGAGAAGCTGGTGAGGACAAGGACGGGTTCGTCTTTGCCTCTGTTCATAGTTTTAATTGAATGATCTCCATCTTCATACTTTTGTGCCAGCTTGCCACTCTGTGACTTTTCCGTGTTACCATCCTATATAAAGTTCAGGACGCAAATTATTTCGTATACTTTGAAGTGACGCAATGCCGTGAGATGGCTGACAACGTCTACCCGGCAACGCACTCAATCGCCAACTTACTTACGACGTACTTCCCGATTGCAAAGATTTTTTTACCAAACAAGCTCCCCGTTGTTCTCACAACAACGTATTCAGCCTTCCCGCCCTGCAACCCACGACTCAGCACCGCCGCGTCTCGACTAAGCCAGCCCAGCCACCAGCACCAGCACCACCGCCCATCGTAGCCATGCCAAGCCACCCACCGGATATAACCCGTTTCGCGGAGTCAACTCCGCTGACTTTCCTTTTGTGGCGTGTAGATCTAGATCGGCCGGCCCAGCAAGCTAATATACGAAGTACGTGCATACGCGAGCGTAGAT